TTAATTTATTAACTTTACTTGAACTTTGGCCCTTTTTACTTGAACTTTACTGGAAATGAGGCATTCCATCCTAGTCCTGCCGGGTTACAACGAATCTGCATTTTGATTGGTAGTCAAGGATAGATGTAGATGTCTATGGGCCACAGAAAACATTTACTATCAAATGGACTGTGTGCTCTTTTGTCATCCGTCTAATATGTAAAAATAAAGTTTTTGTTTTTTTCGTTTTTTATGCGCTGCCATACCGTTCATCAGATTGCGGTGAAACTTTGTCAACATATTGCTTGCATTTCCGTGAAGGTTATATGCATAGGTGGGCCCGGAAGGTGGCCTGGTTTTAGAATCCAGATATAACCCGTGCGAAGCAGGGGCAGTCGCTAGGTATGCTATAAAACATGTTAAAACCTACACCAAAAAATTCAAAAGAATAAAATTATTCCAACATCTTTTCAATTGAGCGATAAGATAAAGTCTATCACAGGACTAAAGACTCTGAATTCAGAAGCTATTATGTGGAAATCATTTTATTCTGTTTGAAGTTGGATTTTACTTCAAAGTTTCCTTTACACTTTTCAGTGGACTAAAGTATAGCTTAAGGTAACAAAACAGATTGTCGTTTAAACAGAAACATTTAAAATCTTAAACCCGTAGGGGAGATATTTGTTCTTAAAATATAGATGACATTACCCTTAAGGTTTATTAATTTAAAAAGGAAAATTCAAAATTTCACTGTTTCTTTTACTATCCCTGTTTATATTGAACATTTCAATTAGTTTTTCGTGTAGTATTGTATGGAAACTAAGTATTTGCTAGAAAAATTCGGGAGAAAATTAGGGATTACGTTATTACGGTCATTTTGATGTATATTTACAAAGTAAAACACAAGCGTACAGTTTGTCATATTCATTTCTTGGTTCGTGTGTCAGGCCATTTATTTGTTCGTTCCTTTGTTTGTCTGACTGAGCAACAACTGAATATTTCTAAATCATCATCACTTAGAATATCAAAATGATGAAGAAAAATTGATTGAAAAAATCGAAAACATTCTATCTTTTGTATTTTAGCTGATTTTACTGCGTACGCACATTTGTAAGGGTTGAGTGGTAGGCCAAAACCAAAGACGTTGTTACATATATATATTAGAATATTGTGATTTAATATTAATATAGTAGATAAGCCCCTAGAGGTTTACATGCTAGTATTGTATTGGATAATGTAACATAACTATGCTTAATAAATAATAACAAAACTGTTTTTCAAAAAAAAATATTTTGTTACGTTTTATTTTAAAGCGTAATTCTTCTTTATGTTCAGGTCTAAATTAACTAAAAATTCTTTTCTTTTGTTCCATATTATTCGCCTTTTCTGTTATACCCTCGCAGCAAACGTCACTGGCATTGACTTAGAATAACGTAATTATTGGTTCCGTGAAGGGCTTCGTTTTGTAATTTGGTTTTGATTAGTAAGCATGTGCCTACCTTCTGACTCGATATAATATCGATTTGTGAATTTTCTAGAATTTAACAGTCGATCAGTATTCTGGAGAAATTGTTTAATATGCATCATACGTGCAGCTATGGCAAAACCGTGACTTTGAAAAACCGCGAAAAATAAGACAATATATGGGAGAAGTCTTTGTTTAGCGGTGGACTATAATAGGCTGTGATGGATAATGGGAAAATGTAAGTAAATGAACAGAATTACAGCGGAATTAAAACAAAGCGCTTCAAATTTCACCTATAATAGGTTTACGATAGAATTGTTATACGATAAAAATGTTTCGAGCTATTTTAAAAAAACACTTTTTCGAGATTTCCTTCGACAACCATATCTCTCGAATGAATCAACCGATTTCAATGTGGTTTGCAGAAATCGAAGTTTTTTTTTAAGTAGAAGAGCTGATTAGATCCTAGAATTGTTTTAAACAAGGGTGTCAAAGTAATTAAAAAAAAAAACATTTTTAAGCGAATTTTTGAGGGTTTTTTCAGAATCTACGCTTCGGTTTAAATTCAAGTTCAGCGAGAACCTTTCAGATGGCACAAATTGCTTTACGATCGGAAACTCCGTTACAAAGCTATGAGATTTTTACATGTCTACATACATACACACACAAGTACACACATGTATACACACATACGGACATCATCGTCAAATAGCCAGAATAGCTTCCTAGGACTCAAAACGTCGAGATATGATGAAAACTCGATTTTTGTAAATCTAAGTGAAAAAGTAAAGTAAAGTTACAGTCTATATACGTCCCACTGCTGGGCACAGGCCTCCTCTCATTTCTGAGAGGGTTTTAGGGCAAGGAATAGTCCGCTGCGCTGCCCCAATGCGTGTTGGCGAACTTCACATGTCTTCGAAATATTTTTTTTCTTATTTCTCAGACACGCAGGTTTCCTCACGATATTTTCCTTCACCGCCGAGCACGTGGTAAATTAGCACTTAAAATTGCAATTAACAATTTCATTGGTGCCGGCGGGGATCGAACCCGGTTTGCTCGCGTATTGTGAAATTTACAGCGAGCGCTAACCATCTTAGCTACCACGGCTCATCTAAGTGAAAACAATAACTTTTTTTGAAAGTCATTGATTTTCATAACAGGAAGTTAAAAATAGTGACTTAACACTTTAGGAGATATTGCTTTTTTGTGAGAATTCTAACCTTAATTCAAGCTAGCAGCTTGTCTGAGATGTGATTCCTATTTTAAGATTTAGTGAGCAATTGGTGACTTTCAGTTACCGAGATTAAAAGATATGTATTACTCGGAACCGGAGTTATAAATATGTCTTAGGGGGATTCTGGCTTGAAGATTATATATCAGAAAATTACTTCAGAATACCTATGTCTTTCGCTGTATATATTAAAATAACCATTCAAATTTAGTCCAGACTTAGTTTATTACGCAGGTTTTAGATAATTTCACATTAAGATGTAAAACAAGGCTGGGGAAAAAATCTAGTTGTTCGGCGCGTGTTAGAATGTAGCTCGGGTAATCACAATATCACGTTCACAAACTCAATTTCAGTTGAAAAAAGTGAGACTTCGCCGGATATGGAGTTGTCGCATGAATGTCAATATCTACTGCTGTACGGCTAAAATTTAACCAATATACTAGTGAAGTTCTCAATACATTTATTTATTTATACGTATATATATTAAAAAAAAAATACAAGTAAATATTAAAACATTTATATCTTTATATATATATATATATATATATATATATATATATATATATATATATACTATATATATATATATAAATGTTCAATAAAATAAATAAAAGTTCAATTACAACTGTAAATGGCTGAACCGATTTTGCTGCAAATTTTTGTATGTGGTTAAGTTAATTTGAGAATGATTTAAATTTTTTGATTATGATTTCAATTTGACCGCCTCGTTAGTCTATTGGTTGTATTGGTGGGACAAATGGAAGCTTATAGAAATTTGCTTTATTCATGAGGTCCTCGTGAGGGTGCGAATCCCGGGTCAGACCGAAAAAATCAATTATTGAGTTTTTCCGTTTGGAAATTCTCAGTAGCTGTCCGGAGTCTGGAAATGAGCAGTGTCTAACCCCCGTGCCTCGGAAAGCACGTTAAGCCGTCCTGCGCCTGATCACTCCCCAGTCGTGTCGGTTTAACATCCCATTGGATTATGAGAGTGAGGGAATAGAGAGTGCACCTGTGCTTGCGCATACACTTGGGCACTATAAACCTGTCCTGCGCCGATGGCTCACCCCGACCGTGACCGAAATTCGGTCTGTAAGACATTATTATTAAATTCACAATTGGACCCGATATGTAGCGCGTCAGGATCCAGAAATCACCCGTGCGAAGCCTTGGCGGACGGCTAGACTTTATATTTAAGTCTTCTGTTTAAACTTATGTATATATGTATTAAACTCCTACTAAAAGGCTGGACCAATTTTAATTAAAACTATTGTGCGTGTTTGAGTGTGTCTCTTGACAGTTTAGATCCACAATTAGAATCGGTAGATGGCGCTGTTGTTGAGATCCAGAAATCACCCGTACGAAGCTGGATCGGATTGCTAGTCAATATATTTTCTTATAACATTTAAAACAGTTTGGTGTCTAGATTTTTTTTTTTGATTTTCCACCAAGGAGTATACCGTCCTTGACGGGAATTTATTGACATTTTTACACAATAGGTTACATTAAATGGCTTACACTATATTTTGCAAGCTGTTATTCTCTAAGACAAGATAACTAACATCAATGCGATTTGATACATTGATTAGGTATCGGTCCATTTAATATTATCACTATTATAAAATTATTTTTCACTGAATGAAATTATTAATAACAATATAAATTTGTATAATTATTCCCAGTAGCATTACATATTTTAGAAATTTAGAAAGAGTACCGAATTAACAAAAAAAAAAAAACGAATAGAAAAAATTACAAAATTAATATAAATATAATACGGGGTATTCTTATGTCTACTGCTTATACTTTAGTCCTTAGCTTATAATTTATTAACATTCATTAAATTTGTGCCTTATTATCAATAATATAATATGAGTCATTAAGTTGTACAGATATGATTAGCAAACGAGCATAGGTAAATGAAAGAGATTTACTTATGTTATATATACAAGAAAGGTGAGAAAATAAGATTTAATTTAAGTAAAATACAAGGTATTCCTATATCTATTGCTTAGGAGTTAGACTATAGCTTATGATTTATTAACAATGATTAAAGCTAGTGTCTTATAACCAAAATAATGTATGCAACGATTCGTGCGAACGTGATTAGCATATAAAAAGAGAATTATAGAGAAGTTGTACATAGCCTTATACAGTTTTTTTTATTGTTATTATTACCAGAGTAATCTTAGATTTACATATTGTATTCTTAAGAACAAAGATAAAGTTTGAAAGGAGGAGTGATAATTATATATGTTAACTTAAATTATAAAAGTTATTAGAAAGTTTATACACAATTTATATCCTATGTATATTAGTTTAAATAATTTACAATTTATTGAATCCTTTAAGCTTATCTATGATGTAATTAATAAATGTAACGAAGGATTCAATAGCACTTTGTTTATTTGAAAGTTCCGTTACACAGTACGGTGATATACGTAGATTGATACAAAGCATCTCGTGTCTTAGTCTATTGTACTCAAATCTAGGACACTCCCTCAACAAATGAGTTAACGTTTGAGTAGTGGTATTGTCACAGGGGCAGAATGGATCGGCAGCGATTTTGAATCTATGCAGATATTCCTTGTGGTAGCCATGACCTGTTAAAGCCTGCGTTAATTGAAATGATACTTTGGTTGCTTTCCATAGTGCACAAATGTCCGTCAATTTTGGGAGTAATTCTTTTGTGCGCGCTCCTTGTTCCGCGCTTTCATATCTTGTCTGCCAAGTTCTCCAAGTTTTTTCCCTCATAGTCCTTTTTACAAAGCTCATAGGGAACTTCGCGTAGTCAGGAGTTTTGTGTTGTGTGGCAGCGCCTTTGGCTGTCTCATCAGCAATTTCGTTACCTGCGTCGCCCGCATGGCCCTTAACCCATGAGAATATGAAATTAAGATCCACTTGAGCAGCTGTATATATTGTGTCATGAGTCTTTGCCACAATGGGGTGGGTGTTAGATCTCTTTTGGAGTGCTCTCAGTGCCGCCTGAGAGTCACTCAAGATCTGTATAACCTCCTTGCAGCCCATGTGCATCCTTGTGCCCCTTTGGTGTCTTTCGTCTCCTTGCTTCAATCTCCGGTCCAAAGTCCACTCGCAAGCCTCTTTAATCGCCAAGAGTTCCGCTTGGAACACAGAGCAGCTAGTATGTAGTTTCAGCCTCTTTTTATATATAACTTTTGAACCTTCGAAACAGACGAAAGCCGCTCCCACACCGCCATTCTCGAGCTTGCTTCCATCTGTATAGATTCGAATAGGCGCTGTTTCCTGTTCTAGATTTTCCGAATTCAGGTCTGCACACTCAATACTTATTCTTTTTGACGGATGTAATAACTCATGCACAGGTGTGGGCCTCTCATATTGTATATCCCTTGGTATTAAGTTGGTTGCCCCTTTCAGTCGTACTGTCTCAACTTCATGTACCTCCAGAACCCTGAGGTCCAAGGGCACAAATTGAGCCAGAGCGACCGCTGCCACCGTTGAGACTGTCCTAAAGGCCCTAATTGCCTTTATTGCAAATCCCCTTTGGGCCGACTCCAAGAGCTTCCTTACATATCGTTTTTTCGCCGCTTGACCCCAGATACCTGCTGCGTATGTAATTGTAGGCTCAATGACCTGTCGATAGATGGTTTGCACGTTATCGGAATGAGCTCCCCAGGTTGGTCGGGTGTAAATGCATAGTTTTTTGAAAATTCGCATAGCCTTCCCAACAACGTACTTAACATGATCAGCGAACAGAAGCTTTCGGTCAATGATCATGCCCTAAGAACTTAATACTCCTTTGAAACGCTAAAGTGTGTCTCCCCATTATAAGGTGTGCTTCTTCAGCCTTACGCGTGAATGCAATGGCTTGCGTCTTAGTGAGTCCAAATGTCAATTTGACACTTTGCCCCCATTCCAATATGATTTCCAGAGCGCGATTGGTATTTGTTTGTAGGGTATTTACATCCTTTGCGGAGACGATAAGTAAAACATCATCCGCAAAGGCTTGCAAATGACATCCACTCGGAAGTTCAGCCTCAAGCAACTCGTCCAGTATCACGTTCCATAAAATGGGTCCACACGCTGAACCTTGTATGCAGCCCTTGGTGTTGTTCTTAGTAACCCGCGCTCCTGCGTATTCTAATGTAACTGTGCGGTTCGTCGTATAGCTCTCTATTAAGTGGAAGATGTTCTTGGGGCATCTTATAGCACGTAGTCTCTCGAATAGTGCGGGCCACCACGCGTTGTCAAATGCGGAGCGGATGTCTAAAGAAACGCCCAGCACCTGTTTGCCATTCTTCTTAGCCGCTTTTACGATACTGAGTGCCGTATCTATAGCTGTAATCGTGCTGGTTTGTTCCTTGAAGCCAAACTGTCGCCCGTTGAGTAGTCCCGCTTTGGTTGCGCAATATATGAGACGCTTAATGTATAATTTTTCGAGCAATTTTCCAAAGACTGGCAAGAGTCCTATAGGGCGGAAGGAGCTTAATTCGCTATAATCAGTCTTGCTTGGCTTTGGTATGATTTAGATTAGGTAGGTAATAAGTGCTCATTTTAAAATTTCATAATACGCGATCAAACCGAGTTCGGATTTACCACGTGCTCCGCGGTGAAGCATAAGTTTTTTTTTAATAGGATAGGGTGACAAACGAGCACATAGTCCACATGATGGTACGTGGTTAAGCTACTATTTCACGCTGGTATTCCGTGAAAGTGTGGTCATTCCCCGGTCGAGTCGACCCATTCGTGCTGCAACTATACTACTAATATAATTGCAGTATGGCTCTACCACGTATAGAGGAAACATAAATGAAAAAAATTGCTAAAGTTTGTGAAGTCCACAAAATACGAATTTGTGCAGCGAACTCTACAAAATAAAAAAAAGGAATACGTCTGTACCCGCAGTAGGACGTGTGCAGGCTAAATTTACCTTTTTCACTTCGATAATTGAAGGGTCGTCAAAGTCAGTATATAATTTTAAAGTATTATAAATAAAATATTGTTGTTTCAACGAAAGGAAAAACGAAATAAAGCAATTTTCTATAAGCTTCCATTTGTCTTTTATCTCAACTCTATAGTACTCGATAAAGCTAAGTGTGCTAGTGTGCTATCGTTATCTTGAAAGAGATCGATGCCCTTAATTCCTGACATCTGGGGACTAAGCCTGGATATACTTTAAAAACATTGGCGAGCAATGAAAAAAGTTTTAAAAATGATAATATATCATTTATATTTAATAACTTATTTATTCAAGAAACAAATAACAAAGAAAAGTAAGTTATTAACAACATTTATAAGGTTTAAAAATAGTAAATTATAGTCATTACACATACATACATGGAAATAAATAAATGTTTGTGCAGATTACGTAAGTCAACAAGTTAATAGTGGTAGAGCCACGCGGTAGCCATTGCTGCAGTGCATGTAGCCGGAGACCCAATTCCCCCCTCCCCCCTCCCCCGTAACATGGTAGCGGAGTTAAATAAAAGACTACATCAGGAGGGTACCAACACCCCCGGTGACGGATAATTCCTCGCTGAGCATCCACGCCCAAGCTACCTTACTCTTCCTGAGCGCAAGTTCTCAGGCTGCCCTGCGTGTTCTGGGGGGGGGGGGGAATTTCGCTCGGGACTTAACCGTAAACAAACGTAACAACAATTAGTCAAAGGCACCCCTTGCCACGCTATCCGTAAATTGCAACATCAGGGGACTCCATTCAAATCTTAACGCCATCCACTACCATCTGGAGACGGCGAAGCTAGCCTTGCTCTTGCTAACCGAGACACAGGTGTCCTCTCCGGCTGATGCTTCGTATCTCTCCCACTCGGGGTACAAATTAGAATACTCATTTGTGCCCCGTGCTGGAATTTGCGTGTACGTCAGAGAAGACATCTGTTATCGACGCCTCCGCAGACTTGAAGGTACGGACCTGTCTATGTTATGGCTACGCGTAGACAGCGACGGCCATCCCCGCATTTACGGTTCCTTCTATAGGTCCCATAGCGATAATGCCGACACAGACCGACTCATCGACCACGTCCAAATGGCTGCAGATTCCGTGTTACTACAGGTACCATCCACAGAAATCGTGATACTTGGCGAATCTAATGCCCACCTCGCTGAATGGCTAGGTTTTTGCTTAACCGACCATGCGGTTATATCTGTTTATGACTTGCATATGGTCTGACACAACAGGTTATCTCGCCTACGTGAATCTCAGATGTGGAAGATCATGTACCTTCACTGTTGGACCTTCTGCTGACCTCTCATCCGGACGGACATCGGGTCTCCGTTGATGCCCCTCTTGGCTCCTCGGACCATTTTCTGATACTCTGGGTACGGTGCCATTCACGCTTCCATCGCGGTTGCGTTCTGCCGGTTGCCTCCGTGTTTGGCATTATAGGTCAGCTGATTCGGACGGGATGAGATCTTTTTTTGCATCCTACCCTTGGAGGCGAGTTTGCTTCTCGCCGAATGATCCCAGCGTTGTTGCTTACTCTTTCGCTAATGTGATGATAAAGGGAATGGAACTTTTTCTTCCATCATCTGTGGTACGTATCGGAGGCAGAACCCAGCCTGGTTTGGTAGCTCCTGCAAAATTGCATTACGCCATACGCAGGAGTGCTACCAGGCCTAGGCTCACGCATCGACGTCTAGTGATGCAAATACCAGGGATCTTAAAAAGAAGTATAATTCCGCCTCCAGGTCCGTTAAAAGTGTCATTGTCAAGAGAAAGTCAGAGGACGTCGGCAGAATTGGCAAGAAACTAGTTCGTCTTCCTTCGGGAACACGTCCATTCCGGTCTCTCTCCAAGACTGCCCAAGGGAACTTCTGTCAGCCATCTCTCCCATCTCTGCACAGGGAGGACGACTCACCAGCCCATGCCGCAAAGGACAAAGCTGATCTGCTGGGCTCTCTCTTTGCGTCCAACTCGACTATAGATGACGGGGGGAACACATCACCGACCATTCCGTGGTGTGAGTGCTTCATGCTAGATGTGCTGTTTACCCAACGCTCGGTACGCAGAGCACTCCTCTCCCTGGACGTCAACAAGTCAAGTGGGTCTGATGGCGTTCTACTATGCTGAAGACGTGTGCTCCGGTTTTTTCGATACTCATACTCTTTAGGCGTAGTTCTGAAATCATGGTAGACAGCTTTCATGCACCCGATCCCTAAAAAAGGCAACCGCTCTGATCCGTCCAACTATAGGCCTATTGCCATCACTTCCTTATTCTAAAAAATAATGGAGTCCCTTAATAACAGCCTGCTCATGCGGTACCTTGACGATCACCAGCTGATTAGTGACCGTCAGTACGGTTTCCGTCACGGTCGCTAGGCTGGTGATCTTCTGGGTTACCTAACTCATAAATGGGCGGTTGGTCGTTAGTTTGGACAAAGCGAAGACCTTAGATCGGGTTTGGCACAAAGCGCTTCATACGAAGCTTCCTTTCTATGGACTTCTCAAGAAATTGTGCAATTGGATCACCAGTTTTCTTGCAGATCGGAGCATCAAGGTCGTAGTAGAGGGTGCATGCTCCGATTATAAGCCCATTAACGCTCGTGTACTACAAGGCTGCGTGCTATCAGCAACACTGTTTCTTCTGCATATCAATGACATGTTGCAAACCGGTAACATTCATTGCTTTGCGGATGACAGCTCTGGTAATGCTTTATACACCGGCTGTGACAATGTCTCGCGGAAAAACGTCGTTGAGTACCAGGAAAAACTTGTATCTGAAATTGAGACTTTGTTGAATAAAGTCTCGGACTGGCGGCGACTAAATTTAGTCTAGTTCAATCCTCAGAAGACACAAGTTTGCGTGTTTACCGCTAAAAAGAATCCCTTCGTCGTATTTCCTCCGTTTCAAGGCACTCCCCTTGTTGCCTTGGCCAGTATCGGAATCCTCGGCGTCAACGTATCGAGTGACATGCAGTTTCGTGGTTAATTGGAAGAGGAGGCCAAATTGGCCCCCTGAAAAGCTTGATGTGCCCAGCAGAGTGGGACAGTATTTCATGCCGGCACACCGCTTGCAACTTTACAAGGCGCAGGTTCAGCCGCACATGGAATACTGTTCCCATCTCTGAACTGGAGATACCCAGTGCCAACTCCTTCCATTTGATCGCATCCAGCGAGGGGTCATTCGAATCGTCGGCGACCGAGCTTTTTCCGATGGGCCTGACTCACTGGCACTGCGAAGAGATGTTGTATCTCTTTGCGTATTTATCGAATTTACCACGGGGAGTGCTCTCATAAATTGTTCGGGCTAATTCCAGCCGCACGATTTCCCCATCGCACATCGCGACAGAACTCGCGTACTATCCATATCATCTGGATTACTTGTGGTCCACCACTGTGCAATTTAAAAGAAGTTTTCTTCTTCGCATAACTTCCTTGCGGAATCGACTACCACCAGAGATTTTTCCGGACTGTTAAGACTTAGGGACCTTCATGAAAAGAGCCTACTCCTTTTTAAAAGGCCGACAACATATCTGCTATTCCCCTGGTGTTACAGTTGTTCATGGGCGGCGGTAATCACTTTCCATCAGGTGAGCCGCATGCTCGTTTACCCCCTCTCCTATAAAAAGTCAGTACTTATGTACAAACCTCATAACATTATTAGCTATTAATTACTGTTTCATTACTATGTTTAAATATTTAATATAATAGCAGTTAAGAAAATAGTTAAATATTATACAAAAAATCTAATAATTACAAATACAAATAGCCTTTTTAATAAATTTACTAAAAGATAATCATGTTTTAGAAATTCCCGAAA